GCGACCTTGTCTCGTTGTAAAATGCTCAGCGATGAGTGACTTGGCTGTTGGTGGCATGTCTTTTGCGTTTGTCCTGTTCAGGTGCTGCTTTGCGATGCTTTGCGCGTGTGAGTTTCTATGGTTTCAACATGTTTTCATGGCGTTTTGGTGTGGGATACCGTCCATGTCGCTCCACTTGCCATGTCCATGATGTTGGTTCTCATCTCCGGTGAAGGGCTGTAGAACCGGACCTGTTCCGCACCGGCCTCCTCAGCTTGAGCTTCAGGCTTCAGGAAGTGCTGCATGGAGCACGGCCGAATGGCTAAGCAGTTAGCTCCATAGGTGTTGTCCAGCCTGGAGTGGCACCCCGCGCACCGGTCATTTCTGAGCAAAGGTCCAAGAAGGCTTGTCGAGGACAAACAATTTAAGGATCTCGAGAGCATTGTATCGTTCAAAAACACAGGAACAAACCAACCTTGAGACGACAAACTAGAAAACTACGAGTTAGGAACCAATCGGAAGTGAGGTTTCTATCCCTACTATATAGGCGCATGTTTATTATCTTTACATTGGTATGCGACACATGTGAGTATGTGACTACGGTACTGCGGAGAAAAGGTCCAGTGGTGACTTTCCTGAGATTGTCACCTTTCAGAATTTCATACCTCTTGCTCTTGTTCTCGCAGTAACAAGTGCCTTACTAGTAGTAACAATGTTTGCTACTAGTAACAAGTGCATCGTTGCTCTTGTTCTCGGAATTCCTGTGACGTAACGAGCGGATCGTGTGGAAGGATCGTGTGGCCAGCAGCGATTGCAATACAAAAGGCCCCACATGTGCAAGGAGGAAAACTATATGAGCTGCGCGGCTGTGGGGTTGAAGTGAATAAAACAGTTTTGCCTGCATGTTCAGTGTGGCTAACTTTCTTACCACATGTTAAGTTTGATTTGAAAAAAGGGGATGAACATGGATATGTAACTCTAGGGAATCGTGTACAAAAAAGAGCCAGGCATCAACTGCAATCCCCTGAGACAGTCTTGTGTAATCTCATGCGAAGCCGCATCGTGGTGGAGGTCAGTTGCTCTTTGACCTCGGCGACTGCAAAGTGGCGACTGGGCTGGACGGCGGTAAGGCCCAGAAATCAGATCTGGTATGATGAGACTTGTCAAAGAAGTATTCTAGAAGTAGCACAGGGGTTCCGTGTTGTCTCACGTTCAGCTCTATGTTGCAGGGCGTTGTTTCACGTTTCTCCTCACCTAAAACTAAGGCTAATACACAATGCAAGATATATCACGGTCTGCATATGTCTGCATTAGTGCATCTTCCTCCCAGTGGCCAATGGACAAAGCCCATCGAGTACGACCTCCACCAACTCGCGTCCTTCGTCTCGATGCTGGTGCTCAAAGCCACCTCAGCATCCACCATGAAAGACCATGAACCAAGAGGTTTCTGGACTCAAATCCTCTGGAGGTGTCTGGGGTCGAACCAATTCCTAGGTCTTCGGGGAGAAAGGGCGCCGGGCGCCCTTTTCAAGGAGCACCAACGACCGGTTTGATGAAAGGGAAGAGAGAAGAAGATGTCAGTCGACTTGAGTTGAAACGGTCCACAGGCTTCACAGCCAAGTGTTTTGGAGGTCTTCGGATTGAAACAAAAAGAACGGCACGTGTTGGTGTGACATGAATTCCAGGTAGAAGATTCCAACTAGGAAGAAGAGAGAGAGAGAGAGATCATGAAACATCCAGATTGATTGGGTGCGACAGTTCTTTACCCTCAATTAGATGAGATGACAGTGTCACAAAATGCGGTGACACATTGCAAGAAACTGGTCTTTCACTTCCAGGTTTGGAATGTTGAGTGGTTCAAATCTGGAGAAACCTCTCCTTCACCACCTCCCAGCAGATTGGTTCATGCCCAAATCCTAAGATCTGCACCTCCTTCACCTTCGTCCAGGGCACCATCCAGGGCAATTAAGCTCACCCAGGAGAAGCCCAGAAGCTCCAGGATGGCCTCCACCGTGCTCCAAATGTAGAGCACATCCTGAGGAACTCCGCGCCGGAGACATTGCTACTCCGCTGCGCCGCATGTGGCCATGCGCTGCAGGGAGGTCGGGGGAACGCCGTGACCACGTGTGACCACGCCGTCAGGCGTCAGGAATTTGGTGTCGTTGCAATATGCCATGTCACAATATGCCATAATTACAGTAATTTACCTCACAGGCATTATAAGAATACAACCATATAATACCATATATAAGCACTCACAAGATGATCTCGCATCACTGGTACTGTAGACCCAAAGGTCTTCGGTTTCGCGGCGAAACCCTCGGGGACCCGGCGCATTTGGGCGTCCGGCTCGTCGAAACGTCTCGGGTGGTTGAGGTCTGTCCGGCTCGACCGACCCGGCTCGGGTGGTTGTGAGGCCCTGGAGGATCCGATGATCATCGAAGCGATTCGATGTACAGGAAAGCGAGCTCATACTGCTGCCCATGTGGCATACTGCTCCAGCTCGAAGTTCTCCTCGGCTGAAATACATGTCTATAAAGCTGCGTGACAACCAAGTAGATCTCATCCAGGTCGAAGTCAAGATCTAGCTAGGTACTAGGTACCATAAGTACAGGAACGCAACACAAAGTATAGCTACATCATACGGCTCCGCAGGCATAATTATCCATGTCTGCTTTGATATGGATGTAGCAAATGCGCATCAACACAATTGTAGCAGTTCTTCTTCTTCTTCTTCTTCTTCTTCGAGATGTGAGTGACAGCTCATTTAGATTGGCCGGACACTCTACTGGCCCAAAACTGAAAAAAGGACTTAAATTGGGCATACTATTTGATGGGTGTCCGAGTTTTGCCCATCTCAAAAAATATACCATCTTGCATCAACGAACTGAATAGGCTTAAAGCTTAGGTCAGGTTGTCCACCCCACCTGGTATTGCATTGCAAATTGATAGAGAGCCCCTTTGTGATGATTACGTTTGGACTGTTACATGGTCGGGTTGAACGCTTTTCACCACACTTTTGAACTCATCATGGAACATGTTAAAGTGACAACATGTGACAACTAGGAACCTGGAAGACCTCTGGCGACTGAGGGTGTTTCCTTGAGAATTTTAGCACTTTACAAGCGCTAAAGGTGGCTTTCCATTGAACGATGCTGCGATGCCAATGACCAGAGTGGTTTCCCGCCGCGGGCTCGGAGTCGGGGTTTGGCTTCACAATCAGTTGGTGGAAGGGATAACTCTATCCAACCAGTGAACCTACACATGGTGGAGGCAAATTAGAACCAGTGCCATGTACAAAACAACAGGAACACCATTGCCAGAATGGATTGAATCCAGGTGGAATCCAACTCATCTGTCTGTGTTCCTGTCCCTGAATCCACCGTCTTTCTGGGATGATGTTGATGTTGATGAATATTGAGTGATGAATCAACCCCAGGCCTGGAGATGTCAAACCATTCTGCAGATGGGGTTTTCAAATGTCAAGAATTCCTCCTATATAGTGATGATCTCTCTAAAGTCTAAAGCTGATGATGCCCACTAGTCATCCGGTCGAGTCATGAGCTGAACACAATGACCTCGATCCGTTTCGCCCGCGCCGTTGCTGTCCCAGCGACATCCACCTCGCCGCCCAGCGCCACCTGCAGCACACGCCGAAAACCGAGAGCCCACTGGATCTCCGGTGGTTGAGCTACAGATGCGTGACTCCCACCTGAGCCTTTGAATCCCAGTGTCCGATGTGTTTTCTTACGCGTCATCTACATATGTTCCTTTCGACTGGCACTGACATGTTCTTTTCATGGCCTCCGCACAGAGCACCACACAGTTTGCAAGGCATGCCCAGTGTTCCAACACACTCTGCACAAACTAAAGAACACTGGCCACGTCGATGAGAGCTATGGAAGTTGTCAAAGCGACAAACGCGGGTTCACTAGCAGGATCTGGTTGCACCCTGAAGAGGTTTGTGGCGAAAAAGAAGGCCGCACCTACAAGATTGCTTCCCTTCACGAGCACCACGCATTTGACCCTTTTTCGAGCTCTGAACGCAAATCCTGGTGGGTATTCAGTTACCACGCCATGAAACCATGGCACTTGGCAAATCCAACTTAAAACACCTGGAAATGAGAATGGATTCTCTTTAGTAACTCTCCAGTGGTAACTTCCCCATGGGAATTCGCTGCCGTAGCCAAACGCCACTGGGTATTGCTCCTTAACAAACCCCTGCAGCAAAAAGGATCATATGGCCACTGCACTAAAACAAAGCACTGCTGCGGCCGGTGTTCAGTTTTCAGGCTTTGCAGTTTTAAAGCTTTCTGGTTGTCAGGAGCCACAGGATGTCCAGCGAAACGCATTCGGAGGCTTTGTTTGGATTATACTACCCCTACAACACAACAACTTCAGTCCACTTTTGTTTGCCTCAGTGTCTACAATCTGTCCCTCAAAGAGACTGATAGTTGTGAAGTTATGATCAACACGGGCCCTCAGAATAGCAACAAAGACCTTTGGGAAACAAAAAAAACAGCGACAAATGGGGAGACAAGGTCTGCCCTACTGAGAAGCAGTCCAGGCAATCACTCAGGCCAGAAAAGGACAAACCGTTAGGTGTCTTCTATTGTGCCCCTGTGTCACCCTATGTTGAGACACCCCTGACATTTAGAGCGGGAAACGAAGGTATATAGTCGTATATAGTTGCACCTGGTGACCTGCGCTGAACCAAATGCCTCTCTGGACAGCAGCCGATGCCTTTGGCGTGCTTGAACTCTTCTTAGGGAAAGACCCTTAGATCCTCCTCCATGCTATGCTGGACGTCTGTTCGTGACACCACTCTTCCGTGGAGCCTCTGAAGTGGAGCCCCTTTTCAACCACCCCTATAAACCCTGTACATGGAGCCCCTTGAAAGAGGAGCACCTTCTAGAAACTCAGAAGTTGGCATCGTTGTTCCCGAACCAGCGCTCTAAAACGCCAGTTTCCACCGGCAGTTTCATGGGAAGATTCTTCCTCTGCTCGGCCCGCCGCGTTCATCATGCCAGCAGCTCTTGCAACATCTTTGGCAAGGAAAAGATGGAGGAAAGTGACGTGACAGGAGACTCAAGTAGAGCTCGTGCACTGCAAAGATAGCAGAGCATCAAGGCCTGCATGTGAGCACAAAGGAACCAAAAAGCAATCTAGAAAGGCTCCAAAGTCAAAAGAAAGGCTCCAAACGGCTGTTGTTCAGAACCCCGTTCCCCAATGGTACTTCTCATGCACCCAACTTGCCAGCTGAAGAAGTGAAAGGTTCATCTGGCCGCACGTGGAAGATGAGTCATCACCTTTTCTGGTTTCCTGTTGACACCCGTAGCACAAGCCTTTTTGTGGCTATCGACGGTCGAGTCTTTGGTGGACGCCACAAGGCTACACCGACAGACGTCGCGACGTCGTCCACGCGACGCCAAAAACGCCTGGTACATGTGCCACAAGGGCCTGGGGCCAAAGTTCAAGACCAAGCCAATGAAACACAGCAGCGCCAAATCCAGGTTCTGTGCCTGTTTTGGAAGGAATGATGCGAACGAAGCAAGTGAGATGCACGACAAGGCATCTTCCACTCCCGGCAATGCTATGAGACGAGCCCAGTGACGAGCCCATATTCCCTGAAAGCGGTCACCTGAAAACAGTGGTCTGTTGGACCTGACTTCTCAGCATGACGAGCGAGTGGGGAGCCTATAGGGGGCGCGCGGCAAGTCACGTTTCAGGAAACAACGGGTGTGCCGGTGTGCCACGCGATGACAGAAGACTGCACTCCTTTTTCCAGCGATTTAGATATTTTTACATGTAAGAAATCCATAGAAATCCTTTTCCCTCCACCGAAGAACTGCCCGCCCCACCGGAAAAAAAAATGCCAAAAACAATGCCGGGTCTGTGTGACAGCCGGCATTGACAAATCTCGGAGCCAGGTGCAATTGTGCCCAAGAACTGCCAATAGAAGATCCCAGTGATGATGTAAGCCCCCTCATAGGCCACCGTGGCTTGCCGAGGACCTAACCAGCCTTTGAACTTCAAGGTGTGCAGGAACAAGGCGATGGTGGTCATGTAGTTCGAGGTAAGCAAGATCCCATGAATGATCTTTTGGTCCTCCAAACGGTTGTTAAAGCTAAGCTTCCAGGGCGAAAAAAAACGAAACCCAACACCCACCTGAGATGTTGTTTTGCACCACCGGATGACCTGGGCGATCATTTTTGCCCCTGTGGTGGATTCCCGAATGGTCGTTTTTGCCCAAATCCAACCCGCCGCCGCTTCCGTGCGCCCCATTTGAATGGTCGGGGCATCGGCCGAATATGGACATGGACACTTTTCTTTGGACTTCCACCGAGTCTCTGGATCGTTTGGGGCGGGCGTTTATGCCGGGAGTGGAAGGGCAAAACAGTCATCTGCAACAGTCTCATTGACATAGAAACAATACTTCTTCAAAGAATCTGGTGGTGAACAAGAACTGCCTTGAGTCGAGAGCACAATCCTCTACTAGCTTGGCAGCAGGACGCCGTTTGTTTTGATCTAGGTTTGTATTTTGCGCTTGACTTGCAGCCAACCCCTAAAGCTGAAAACATGCGAACCTCGGTTGCTCCCGACAACTGACTCCAATTCATGACCAAGGAATGGTTGCCGCGACATGTGGAAACACACTCCCCCTTCCAATAGTCAACCGCAACACACACCAAATTGCACCGGGCCCCATGCGTCTCGAAAAATGGTTCGTTGGTTCGTCCACTGACATCGTTGACATCGTCCTCTGGGGTCACACGACCCAGGAAGCGGATGTAGTTCAAGAAGAATCCTCGACGGTCGAACTGATGAGGTGATCAAGCGAGACGCAAAGGGTGAGAGGGTGAGAGGTGAAAAAGGATGTGACAAAGAGGATGTCTAATACTTGGGATATCTTGGAGCAATGTGTTGTTCAAGTGAATCCTCCAACTACAGTGACTTCAATCCTCCGACCAGTTTTTTTCAAACTAGATACTGTAGCACAACTGTTTAACAATTTGGTGAACAAAACACACAAACATTTACAATACATTTACATACCGCAACATCTACCTGAGGGTAGAGACACCATCAAAGTCATTGCTTTAAACCAGGGCGCCGATGTAGTGCTTGGCAAAGCTGTAGAAGAACTTCACAATCCAGCTGGATGCCACCATAAAGAAACGATTCTTGTCCTCGGATGCTGAGCACGGAGGATTTTTCTGTGCCCAACTGCTGGATGGCTTGAACCAACCGACCCCAGTGGGAGCAACGGAGCAACTCGTAGAAGCTTGCAAAGAATTCTCAAGACTACTCCTGCTACTCCTGCACCTACTCCAACTCTTGATACGACTACGACGACTACTACTACTACTACTTACTACTACTACTACCACCACTACTACCACCACCACCCCCGCCGCCACCACCACCACCACCACCGCTACTATAGAAGCTCCGCGTCTGCAAAAGACAAATTCTCAAACCATAGGACCCATGAAACTCGTGCTGATGCCTTTAGGTTATAACTTAAGAAATGCTTTGACGCTTGGCATGGGTATTCACACCAGTCGATTTGTTAGCGCTGCTAGGTATATTTTGCGATGTTAATTGTGTTGGCAGAAGTTTCATAAATTGCACAACTGTTGGTAATCTTAGATCAACTTCCCTCAGAACCAAATTCACATCTCAACAAACCACCCCAAAAAGACTTGGTTGTTTGGTTTCTTGCTTCCAGTTGTGGGCTCCACCATGTCATTCCCACCTGATTTCACCCAAGTCTCAGACTTGTTCTTTGCATTTTCCAGCGCGTGGCGGATCCGGGTAGTGGGCCACAGTGGTCGAATGTAGTAGGGAAGGAACACGAACAGAAGTTCAATCGGCCAACACGCTCGAATTGCACCGTAGATCCTGGAGGCGGATCGGCCAACGTGGAAGAGATTTGAAAACGAGAGGACCTGGACCTGAACGTTGAAGGCGCATGAAGGCGGCAGCGAAGTGCTTGGTGGTGGTGTCCCATGTCGAATTGTGTTGGGGCGAACGAGGTTGGTGGAGCTAGAATGGCAGCAACATACAGCAATTGCCTGATCTTCAAGGAGGAGTTGTTTGGTTCAGCAGGTGCCAGAAAACAAAGTGCCTGTGGGCAAGAAACGTCCAGAAGAGAGCATGGTGGATCTAAGTTGCTGAGTGGCTTCATACACGTGATTGCCTGCAGTATCATAGCGGGTACGGAAACGTGGAGATTGGCAGGATTTACACCCCAGTTCTGTGCAAATCTATCCAGTGCAGCAGAACAGTTCGCAGAACAGAAGGAACTCAGCGGTGCCAAGAATCCGGTTGTCCATGTAGAAGCACTGAAACGACAACAGCATGGCAAAGAAACTGTTCTCCACGATGAAGCGGTAACCTATAGCTTGCCGCACACAGCGATGCGGAGAACGAGACATGTAGATGCGAACGCACGAGTAGCAACAACAACCTGTCGCCGTAGTCGCCGTAGTCCGTGTTGAGAAGAATTTGATGCCTTGTTAGTTGATAAATCCCATTACCAGTAACAGTTGATGATGTTTGTTAAAAGGTCTCTCTCAATAAAACAGTATAGAGATGTAGATGTATACAGTATACACTAATCTCTAAACTGGTCACGGGTCCCATGAGTCACACACCCCGAAAAACAGTTGCTCGTTCGTCCGGTCCGTACGTCATTGGTGAAAACCTATATGGCACATCTACTGCAACACTGACTCCCAAGCCGAGAAGGCTATCCACGGACTGGGTACGGTCTAGACTAGACTAGAACCAACCATCTTCTGAAAAAGTCTCTGGAAAAGAGTTACGGTACAAAACTTTGGGTCCATGGTTCAAGGCGGGAATGACGTGCTCTGCTTATTAGCACTCCGTAATTGTCTCATGCTGCGTCAACGACGCCCCGGTTTGGACTTCAACAACGTGTATCCATGACCAAACGGTGCAGTATAGGAATGTATAGGTGACCAAGCTGGGTTGCTTTGACAAACATGCGTTTACCCTGCCTTCAACACACAGAAGTGGAACAACTGAATTATAATGACAGCAAAATCGTTGGCCCTCGTGTGTCCATGTAGGCTGCCGGAGGCCAAAAGCCCCGACAGGCCGTGCCTTTCAGACATCGGGACTTCCTGAAAGACGGGCTGAACTATGCTGGGCTGCGTGTGATGTCCTGCGTGTGCTCACATCAGCTGGGAGGACATCCTGCGTCGGGGACCTCTACGACGAAGGTCCCGAAGGTCCCGACCCAAGAGCGGAGAGGTCTTACCTGTCACAGACCCGCTCTTAGAGGATGCAATATGACCAACCCTTTCCGTCAAGAGGAATCGGAATGAAGTCATTTAAATCAAATCCAGAAGCAGCAATGCATGTCATGTCCCAACCAATGAAGTTCTTCACTTCCATGACCACTCTCCACAACCTGGCCGAAACAACGTCCACATCATCGTCACACAACCTGGCGCCCAGAAGCTCAGTGGCGCCTTGTCAGCCATGGCGATAAAGCCCGGGTCGGCCACCTGGACTGCGGCCAGTGAGTATCTCAAAGATGCTCAAGATTCCATCAGTTTCAGTTTTCTTTGAGAACTCCAAGTGGGATGATAACTCCAAGATCTCCAGAGATAGTCTCGACCTTACGAAAAAGAAGAGACGAAAGGCATCCCCTCACTTCTCCTCTCTGGTCCTATCCGATTTATCCCCTTGAGGACATGCGCCCAAAAAAACCACCTTCGGCATGAAGGTGAAGGTCAAGGAGGCCGTGATGGCTTGCAGCAGTCCTGTGAGCCCCAAACTCCACACCAGTGGCGTGCGCAGGTAATGCTGGTAGTCCCACACATACCTGAAGGGGCTGCTTCTTCTTTTCTCGACCAAGGCGAGCAAAAGGAGATTCTATATATTACTTATATATTTGGGGGTTCATATCCCTACACCTTCAAGTACCTTCTAAGAAGGTGTTTGGGGTGGGTTTAGAGGGTCCAAATACCTTCTGAGGAGGTACGACTGGAGCCCTAGGGTATGCGCCAGGTGCGCTTCGCTTCGTGTGTTCCTGCGCTTCGCTTGGCAGCCACGAGGAATCGGAACCGGGGGTTGATGTTCTTCCATCAACGTGTTTTATGTAGCCCTTGGACCATTGGAACCACTGGTTACCTAATATAATAGTGGATAATGTGGTAACTGGATCCACTCTGCTTTGGTTTCTTCGCCCCAGTGGCCAGAAGATCGCAGCAAAGAACTGGAGGAGGAAGATCAAGCCAACGATTCGGTGGACTTGAAATCGTGGAGCGAACCACAAGTTGATCTGTGCCTTTGATGGTTCGCATGGGCGCAGATGTCGCGGTGATCCGGCCGGGGGACTTGGGACTTGGCTGGGTTTGGGAGGAAGTGGGAAGGAAGTGGGGTGCTGTTGCTTCTTGTTAGGGTCAGGGATGTGTATTGCGGATGGCATCTCAAGCAAGGAAAGAACTGGGAAATGGGAAGAAAAAAACTAGTTCATCACAGAAGGTGTGGGGTCATAGGGGGTCATTTCGGCCAACAACTGACTCAAGTGTGACATGGGTTATAGATGGTTTATAGGTTTATAGAAGATTATAGGAGCTGAGATTTCTTCTATCCCAGACACGACCTGTCTATGGGACTGCCATAGGACTGCCGACATGGTTTTGGGTGGTTTTGGGGCTGAATGTAGGCAGTCCTATGGCAGTCCCATTAGTCGTGTCTGGGTATCATCTTGGTGATTTCAAGTTCTTTCTACACCACGAACCGTGGGAGATGCTTCGTTCACCCTACACGGACGTCCACACCCGATTTGAACCCGTGGTCTCACAGTCCACGAACGTGGTCTCCACTGAGGGTCTAACTGGTCCAACTCCCCGATGGCAGGGATG